TTCATGTCTTTCCTACTGTCGGTCTACACAGCTGAATGTAAACCACACCACAGTGAGGTCTTGGGTGTCCCTTGGAACACATCGAACTCATTTGATCCTCACCACAGCCGTATGCATTAAGCACTACTAGTCTCCCATTTCATAGATGAGGCAAGTAAGGCACAGAGGAGTTAAGCCACTTGTCTAATGACATACAGCCTGTGAGTGGAGGAGTCAGGATTCGAATTGAGGCCACTGGGCTGCAGAGCCTACAGGTGCCACTGCCAAGCTTGACTATTACGTTTATGTCACAGTGACAGAATGAAAAAAGATATATAGCACATGAAACATGATCACATTTGATTAAAAATTATGGTCAGGATGCAGAAAAAAATTTCTGGAAGAAATTAAGAACAATGATTACCTCTGGGATGTAGGAGTCTTATTAGGAGGTGGGAAAATGAGACTTTCGCTTTTCATCTGATATCTTTCTGAACTGTCTGAGTTTACTTTAAACCATAATTATGTGTTATAATAACAATAAAAACTAGTTTAAAAAAGCTGACACCTGGACTTTATCATTTTGTAACTCAAGAAAGAAGAAGAGTCTTTGAACCTAGAGAAGAAATAAGATGTCTTGGGCTCCCGAAGGTTTTGAAGNCTATGCACATCGTCCATCTGCTTTCAATCATCTCTAGATTACTTATGATACCTAATACAATTTAATGCTACATAAATAGCTGTTATATGAGGGGTCTTCAAAAAGTTTATGGGAAGATTCATATCTTTTAGCTCCATTTTTCTACAAAGTTTTTGAAGCACCCTCCTAATGTATTTTTAAAATTGTATTATTTTTTATTGATGTATTGCTATTATTTTAGAGGAATTATTTATTTACTTATTTTCCCCAAATATTTTCGATCCACAGCTGGCTGAATCTGGGGATGCAGAACCCGCGGATACTAAGGGCTGACTGTACTAAGGCCATCCAGAGAAGTGGGGCCGATCCACATGGGATGGAAAGAGGTTCTCCCAGTTATGTCATGTGCAAAAAGGAGCTGCTACGTGGAATGTGAAATCATTTTTAGAAAACAAAACTCACATGCAGCTTAGTTTGGTACACTGAAGTTTACTGAACTCTCGTTTCTAAAGGGTGATATGTGGGAGATTCACTTTCTTTTTTTTNTCCCCAAATCAGAATTCCAGATACCAGGGAAGTGTATCCTCTGGGCACATTAAAAGCTTTAGATCCAAAAGAGAAACAGAAAGAGATAGAGACAGAAAGAGAGATAGACACACACACACCTCAAAGAGTTAGTGTTTCTTTTGTGGAAGCTGGAAGGGGATGCCCCTTCTTCCCCGCTTTTGATTCTGGTATCTCCCAGAACCCTCTGCATGGGAGAGAGCGACTCAGTGCAGGCCCATTGTGCATTTGGGAGGGGCCCAGCGTACCTGTCTCCCCTGGTGAGAAAGCAGGCTTGGCCTTCAGCACGACTCAGAACAGAAAGGTGCATTGTCCACAAGGCTCTCCTGAGAAGGGTGTAAAAAGACCTGCTGAAAACTTTAAAATGGGCACTCTCTGCCCTGGCAGTTCTACTTCTAGAACAGTGTCCTTCAGAAAGGCCTGTGTGAACTCATGGTGCCATGTGTATGGGGACACTTCCTGGGGTCCTGTTTGTGGAGCAAACACAGGAGCCACCAGCAGGGGACGGGTGAGGCTGACT